TCCTGACAACAAGGGGAATAAAAGGCAGAAATCATAATGAATAATTTATTTGTTTGACCGAGCTAATTGGTTTACCAAGCATTTGATGGCCTGCTAGACAAATGGCTTAAGTGAGGTCTGAAGGCAAGAGGAGGAGATAAAAATTACGTAGAATTCACAAATCGTGTATCTGAAAGACACCGTTTGGAAGTCACATAAAATAGTCAAATTGCTGTCTTGCCTGCTAGGCTTTAGAAGGAAGAACTAACATTTTAAAACATTTTATTAAGATTAAAAAAAATTAAAAGGTCAATTTAGATGCTCACAAAGCTCTTCCTCCCTGCTCCTCCCCACCCCCCCATTCCTTTAGGATAGGAATTTTTTTAAAAAAAGGGGGAGACAATGTGAACATTTCTCAATTCAAGGTCTGACTACTGTGTCTTATATTTCTGGGCCTAGCATTGAGCCTGCTTGTGATTTGAATACCAGTTTTTTCAGAGATTATTTGTCTACCTATGAATCATCAGGGTAAAAAGGAGACTTTAAGATCCCTTACTTAATTTTTTACTTCTTTTTTCCAACCTTACTCTCATTCCAATCTTGTAATGACCAAAATTGATTGAATGCTCCCTTTGTACATAACACGGTCCTAAGCTGACAGGGAATGTTAAAAGGATTTGAAGCTGAATCATTTCTCTGAAGAAGCTTACAATTTGACAGTATGTTAAACTGTTTCACATTTTATTCATTTGGCCTCCACTTATTCAGAATTGCTAAGAATTTGGACATGGGCTATGCTGGTTTATTTCTGTACTCTGGGGGAAAGAAAAGACTTGCTCAGCAAATTAAGTGTCATCAACATTTGGGGTGAATGGGAACAAGAAATATTTCATTTTCAGGGAACAAATTGTTTATTAAAACTTGGTAACATATTTGGGTATAAATGATTAATGTACTAATTACAAGTAAACCTTCTGTAGTCATAAAAGAAGGCCCAGATGGAACTTCATGTGACAACACTTTAACCACTTTTATTACTCTATTTCCTTGTAAATCATTTAAAAATAAATATTCTACAATATAGCTGGGCCTTCTTACCAACCAGTCCAAATTAGTGAGGTTCTTACTGTAAACATTGAGGTAAAAATCCTTGTAAACTTCTACACTGTTCATTCTAGGGCTATATAAGGCCTAAAGTGAGCTTCTTGTAAGTTTGCAGGCCTTTGGGATGAGTATGGAACGATCTCAGAAGTGAGGCCTGGGGAGAAATGTACAAGGTATCTACCTCTCTTTCATTTTTAAACTTGCATGCTGGCAGAAGATGCTTGTTTTAGGTTCAGCATAATCTAGGGGCAGTGTCCTCTGACCTTTATAATTTTTATGTTGAACTTTAATTGGTGGGCAAGATATAACTGTTCGATTTGTTTTTTTTTTTTTTCCCTTGGGGGCTTGGAGGACTTTGACAAAGCTCCTTAAATAACTGGATAAATAATTCAGCAGATTAGAAACACTATCAGTTTTGCCTTTGAAGGCAGATCTCAGGGGGCCCACTGTATTCCTACCTAATTTGGAAATGCTTTCTCCTGGGTTGTTATTTTGGGGCCCACTCTGCTTGCTATCTGCTTTTCTTGCTATTTTCAGCCTCCCAAGAGAGCCTCAACTGACATCATAGCAGCAAAGAAACAGGCAAGGAAACCAATAACCTTTTGCTTTCATAAAGCATTTATTTTTATTTGAAAACATTATACAGGCATTACATTGCCACAGCCAGTCCATATAGGAGCATGCAAATATCAAAAATGGAGAAAGTGTTGATTCAGCATGTTGGTGCAGATTCTTTTTTTTTTTTCTTCTTTTCTTTTTGGTTTAGATTCCCATTTGCAATGGTCAGGGTTAGTGTGCTTATTATGGGATTTACCAGTAGAATCCTACCCATGGGGTAAAGTCTTTTAGCTAGCTTGGGATTATGAAATGGCTTTAACGAAAACAAAACGAAACAAAAAACATACTACACGCTTGTCAGAAGGTTAATAGCACAAGTTAGCAATATCTAAACTAAACACTGAAACTTTTCCATTATGACACAGTGATGCAATTTTTTTTTCAATTGCTTGGTCTACCATGTTGTGTGTTTCCAAGTTTGCAGCTGTGGAAAGCTGGAACCAAGATAGCTCTGTCTCCTAACCATGATTCCGGGAAGTCTATGCCCTCCCTCAGGTGGGGAGGGGTTAGGTAGGTTTTCCATTCAGTTGCTAAAAATTACCCCCTATCTTGCCCAGTTCCCAAGGGGTGGTGGTGTTGACAAGAGCTCTGGTTTATTTATGTAACTATTGCCCCACACTGCTAAAGTCTCGTTCAACCTGTAGAGGTTTGTGAGCTGAAGAGTTGAATTGCTGCTGGTGTCTATAGAGGTTCTGAAACTGTAGGAAAGAGAAGACCTGGAGTAATGTTATCCTTCCTACCTTCCCCCTTCTCATCCTTCCTTACTAGACTAATTAATATTTGTATATAACAGGAAGGCTTATATGCCGCTGTTTTTTCTTGGGGGCCCATCGAAGCCTTCTGATTTGGGGGTCAGTTCAACACATTATTCACCTCTTTACCTGGAGCAGAAAGAAAGCAACACTGTCAGTGACTCCAGTGATGGGAAGGTCTTTGTGAAGAAAGCTTGCTGAGTGATGATGAAGGGTGTACGGTGCATTTCTAAACATTCACACTTGGTTTCCATACAATGGAGTCAATTAAAATATTCTATAAAAATGTTTCAAATGGCAGATTTAAGCCATCTGTTGATTGCAAACCTTTTTTTTTTTAATTTAAATTTTTAAAAACTCCCAAGCCAGTGAACTGACTTGGAAATACCTTCAATCCAGTTGTTCCTAATAAGACTACTAAACACCTACAAATTAGTGTCATAAAAATGAATAAAAAAGAAGACTACAAACATTTGGCTTAAAAAATAAATACTAAAAACTGGGTAAACCAAGAAAAGTATGCGAAATGAAGGAATGTAAACACAAAAATAAAACCACAGTCTTTAAAGGTCTTTAGACCCTAATAGACATAATGCTCAGAGAAAGGTATTTAATTGGTTTAAAAGGTAGCAGAGAGTACAGGAGATGGCAGGATTCCTCAGGATTGGGAGAATTTTAGCACAGTGATTTTTGCAGAAAATAAACATTCTTTTAAGGGGTTATCTGAGAAAACAAGGGATTTTGAATAGCAGTGTTTTTCTCTCCTGTCCCAAGGGATCTTTCTCCTGGAGTGAGGGCATGGCCAGATTCTTCACTCTATGGTTGAAAAATACAAAACCAATCCACACACTTTTAGATTAATACTAAGGCATATAGCTTTCCACTTTAGAACATAGTACTGGCCTGATTCAACATCTTTAGAATTATCTTGCTATTTTAGTATGTCAAAAGTAGTACAAATGCTCCTTCCTACATTGCAGAAACCCTATGGTCTAGTTGGTGTGCTTAATATTTGCACAGATGTTTATCTGACTTTTTAAAATTCTCACAGACATTTTCCTTTTCTTTCTATACCCTTTGTCTTTATCAATGCCTTCTCTGCATCAACCAAACATAGAAGATATTTCATATACTCACAGGTTACAGCTAGCACTGGGAAATTAGGTGGGCCTTTTTTTGATTCTTGACTTTTAGTCCTTGCAAAAAGGGTCATTTTCAGGGGAAAAATGTATATGAAAGACCCATCAGATTCTTGTTACCCAAAGAGAAAAACAGAAAGATAGATTAAGAATGTAATATCTTGATGGATGGATACCAAACATTCCTCAAATGCATAATTGTAAAATGATGGTGTCTATACCATTGTGATGGTGTCAAGTCAACGGAATTGCTCTTGAGGCCTATACTGCCTTTGTTCCTAAACTCTTTAGGTGTGTGGCACAATCAGTTAAACTTACAAAATGAACACAATTTCTGTATTAGTACACTTAAAAAAAGGAAGCCTCAAAAATAGTAGATAGTATTGGCTTCTTCAAGTGCCTTGATTCTGTTCCATATTATCTCACCGAAAAAGATCTAGAAGGAGGAGGAAAATAAAACACTTGGAGGTTTGGTTTTTTTGTTCTTGTTTTTGGTTTTTGTTTTTTGTTTTTTTGTTTTTGTTTTTGGTGGGGTAGGGAGGAAAGAGGAAGCGTGAGGGAATATAGATTTGGGTGAAAACAAATGTCTCGAAAAAAATGACTTGGTTTCTGGAGTTTCCCCACACCCATAGCAGTGATACATCCCTGACCCTATTATCATAGGGACTTGGTTGGCTGAAACCTCATGGCACAACAGAAGGCAATGGCCTGGATGAGAATGTAGTGATTGCAAATATAAAAAGGCTAAAATGCTCATTTTAGATCTATTCCTAGAATAGAGAATTATATGGTCAGTTGCCCCTCCCCACAAGGGTCACAGCACAGATGACATTTTGAGCCAGCAATCCAACAGATGGTGGATTAACTGCTAACCACCAAATTCCTAGGCCAACTAAGCTTTTCTGGGGTGGAGCTCCTGTAGCATGCATCACTCTCAAAGTCTATGCAAAAAAAAATTAAATATGATTTTTAAAAAGTGACTTGCCATAGAAAAGTGGGATTTATGCAACTGCTTGTGGAACTGGTAGAATTTGATTTGTATTTGGGGTAGGGGTGGGGGTGGTGTGCAAAATCCCCTCTTGAATATTGGTTCAATAATAATAACAGTAATAATAATAAAAACAATAATAATACTAGCTTTTGATTCAAAACTTTTCACAGTAATCGATGCAGAGGGAATTGCGGTCACTGTACACCCTAGACAGACACCTCTCCAAGTAAGATGTTTTGGAGTCTGAGTCTCCGGGGACAATGAGCTTGTTCTTTGCAAGAGGCTTTCAGATTTGCTACCTTGCAGTCCACCTGTGTAAACTGCACCTGGTAAATACCTTTCTCTATGTACAATACAGAGATGATGGGCATATACGTGGCCACTGAGTCACCCTCAGTGGCTTAGGAGGGCCTAATCCTAGGCAACTCTCACATGGGGCTCCTCTTCCATCTCTTGACCTAGGCTGGTATAGGTGACTGAAGGTTCCACCTGCCCAGAGGCTGGTAAGTCTACAACAGTTCCTGATGGGTTTCGAAACTGCTTGTATACTCGAGGGTCCTGGGCTATGTATGTGGAGGTGGAGGAGTAGAGAACCAGCCCGACGAGGATAGTGAAGAAGGACAGGAGATAAAGTCCTGAAAACTAAAGCAGACATAATACCAGAGTCATTAACATAGTAAGACCACAGGTTCATTCAGTTATTCATGCTACACACATTTAGTAAGTACCTATTGCATACAAGTCACTGAATTGAGGGAGGAATAAGGATAAATAATGATAGCTAATATTTATATAGCATTTTAAGGTTTGCAAATCTCTTTACATATATTAGCCCATTTGGTCCTCATGGCAACCCTGTGAGTTAGGTGCTATTATTATCCCCATTTTATGGATGAGGAAACTGGAAATAAAAATTCCATGTGAAATATACTCTTAATTCCCCCATTCTTAAAAAACTGCAATCTAGAAAGGGAGATGAGATATAGACTGTACAAATAACTATCGTACAAAACAGAATGCAGTTTGTATAACCAGTGCTTGTTTAGCACAGTGCCTGACACATACTAAATGCTTAACAAATGTCATCTATCTATTATGTGTCTAGCTATCTAGCATGAAATATAGCCTCAGACTAAATTTTTAAGAAAAACTCACTTGTGGGGAGAGACCCCAGGACCAGGATGCTATGAAGATAAGAGTTAGGGAAAAAGGGGGCTCGACCAGTGTTCACCTGTGGTGGGTGGTCCTATTTTATGTAATAATTCTTATTAATCAGATACTAAATTTAGGCATTTCTTTTTTTTAAATAAATTTTTATTGATACCTTTTGGGTTTTTAACATTATCATAGTTTTCCCAAGTATCTCACCTCCTCTCCCTCTTAGAGAGCTATCCCATATAACAAATAGTATTTGTTAAAGGCATTAAAAAAGAGGAAAAATCAGCACAACTGATTTGCATTGAAATGCAAATTGAAATGCATTGAAAAAGTCTGAAAACATACATAATGGGCAACATTTATGGACCTTTCACTTTCATGAAGGGGTAGGTTAGAGATGTCCTCTCATCTCTTTACTCAAGTAATCTTTATAATTTTGTTACATTATTCACTTTTGATTTTGTGTGTATGGTTGTTTTTTTTTTCTATTTACATTGATGTGGTCATGCCTATTACTTTCTTGACTCTGCTTACTTCATTATTCATCAGTTTGTGTGGATCTTTCCATGCTGCTCTATATTCATCACATAGATTATTTTTTTTTACAGCACAATAATATCCACAATTCATGTACCATAATTTACTTAGCCATTGTCCAATCAAGGGTCATCTACTTTTTTCTAGTTCTTTGCTATCACAAAAAGTATTGCTAAAAATATTTTGGTGTATATGGGAACTTTCTTCTAATCAAGAGCTTCCTTGGAGTATAAGTCCAGTAATGGGATCGTTGGTTCAAAAGGTATGAATATTTTTGTTACTTTGTTTGCATTTTTCCAAACCGCTTTCCTAAACAGTTGTACCATTTCATAGTTCCATCAACAATGATGCCTATTTTTGTACAACCCCTCCAATATTGACTATTTCCATTTTTTTTGTCATCTTTGCCAATTTGTAGGGAGTAAGATGAAACCTGAGGGTAATTTTGATGTTCATTTTTCTTATTAGTGATTTTGGAGCATTCTTTCATATGGTTATGAATACTTTGCAATTGAGAATCATTTTTTCATATCCTTTAACCACTTATGTATTGGGAATGGCATATATATGTGTATATACATACATATATACAAGTTATTTATCTTGGATACATATGTAAATCTATGTATGTGTATGAATTGTTTATCTTGGATACCAAACCCTTAGAGATATTTGGTACAGTTTTTTCCCCATTCAATTACTTTCATTCTTATCCTGACGCATAAATTTTGTCTGTGTAGTAGCTTTTAGTTTCATATAATCAGAGATATCTATTTTGCCTTTTGTAATTGCCTCTATCTTTTGTTTAGTTAAAAAGATATCACCTACCCATAGCTCTGAAAGATATATATGATCTGCTTCTTTTCTAATTTTTTAATAGTGTGATCTTTAATATTAAGGTTGTGTAACTAAGATATATTATAGAATTACAGTGTAAGGTATTAGTCTAAGAGTAATTTCTGTCTGATTGCTTTACAGTTTTTAAAAAATCAAACAAGGAGTTTTTCCCTAGGTAATTTGTTTTCCACTTTGTTAAACACTGAATTACCAAGTTCCATTGTTTCTGATTCTCCCTTGTTGAGCCTGTTCTCTCTCCCTCTCCACCTGTCTCCTTCTGTCCCTCTCTCTAACCCCAATACCTGATGGTTTCCATGACTGCTGCTTTATAACATAGTTTCAGGTCTGGCAGTACTGGTCTCCTTTTGTCCCTACCTCTTTTCATCATTTCCCTTGATGTTCTAGATCTTTTGTTTTCTAAATGAGTTTTGTTCTATAAACTATCTCCTTGGTAATTTCATTGATATGGTAGTATTGTCATTTTTAGTATCAGGTATCACAGGTAGTGAGCAACAGAGGCAAGATTTGAACTGAGGTCCTCTGACCCTAAATCTTGTGCTGGCCTTTTCCTCAGCAACACAGTTGCCTTTAGGATGCCCCAGAGCCTGGGTTTGGTAACAGCTAGAACAGGACACAGGAATGAATTTGGAGAAACCCTAAATGGTTTCCAAAGAAATCAGGAAAGACCAGGACTAGAGGGAATTCAGTGCCTTTTTTTTTTTTTTTTGGGTGAGGCAATCGGGGTTAAGTGACTTGCCCAAGGTCACACAGCTAGTATATGTCAAGTGTTTGGTCTGAGGCCAGATTTAAACTCAGGTCCTCCTGACTTCAGGGTCGGTGTTCTATCCATTGCGCCACCTAGCTGCCCCTAGTGCCTTTCTTCAAAGGCTTTTCATTGTGATGAAAAACTGTCCAATGGAAGAGGAGGGGAAAAATGTAAGACATTAACTCTATTAACCCTACTAAACCCTTTGTATAGATTTATTTCTCAGATAACTGGCACCAGGCTAGGAGTCAGGAGACTTGAATTCTAGTCTGTTTTGCTACTAACTAGTTGTGTGACATTAGAAAACTCATTTCCCTTTCTGCAAATCTTATAACAGAGACTTGCAGCTTATGTACAATTCTCTCCTTCTGGCCTGCATCATACATGCAAATGCTGATTTTATTTGATGTTTGTTAAGTTATGAATAAAAAAAAGAAAATTTAAAAGTCACATCCTCTCTATGGGTCTCAGTTTCCTTCTCAGTACAATGAGAGAGTTAGACCAGACCAAAAATTCTTAATCTTGTTTGTGCCATGGACTCCTCTTGTGAAACCTGTGGATGGACCTCTCCTCAGAATAATGTATTAAAATGCATAAAATAAAATTGTATCAATTAGCAAGGCCTAGCCATGAACACTGAATATTTTTTCCAGCTAATTAAGTTGTTCTTTATTTCTTTAAGGATCACTTTATAATTGAATCTATAAAGTCTTTTGTGTGCATCTGTAGATAGATCCTTGGGTTTCTTATGCATTTCGTTGTTATTTTTAATGGGATTTTACTTCCTATTTTTGCTTCTTGGATTGTTATCTTTATGTAGAAATGTAAGTATTTTTGAGGATTTATTTTGTAGCCTGCAAATTTGCTAAAGCTAGTAAGTGTCTCAATTAGTATCCTTGATGATTGCTATGATTGTCCAAGTTTACCATTATATCATCAGCAAATAGGAATAGTTTTATCTCCTTTTACCTATCTTTATCCCTTTAATTTCTTCTTTTTTCTTATTGTGGTTGCTAGCATTTCCAGAATTATATCAAATAATAGTAGAGAGAGTAGACATCTTTACTTTTCTCCTGTATTTATTGGAAAAGTTTCTAATGTATTTCCCACTATATATGATGGTTGTGTTTGGTTTTAGATCGATGCTTTTTATGAAAGTAAAAAAAATTGTCCCTTTATACCTATACTTCATAGAATCTTCCCTCCCTCCCTTTGTTAAAGGGTTTTCACTGTATCTTGAGATACTCACGTAGCTTTGGAGGTTTCGGTTTTTAATGTGATTGTTTTCCTAATGTTGAATCATCCTGGCATCCAAGGTATAAATTTAACTTGGTCATAATGAATTTCTTGGATAAATCACTGTAATCTGTTCTGATTATTATTTTTATTTCTTCTGGTTATGTTGTGGTTGTGTCTGTGTTATGTTGCTAATTTTCTACTTCATTGATTTTATTTTTTACCCTCTTTTTAATCAGACTAGCTAAATGTTTGTCGAAATTGACAAACTAATGAAATTATTAGTGTTTTTCAGAGAATTAGCTTTCACTTTTACTTATTTCTCTGTTTTGTTTTTGGTTTCCTCTTCTAATTTTCATATCTGATCTTTTGTGTTTATTTTAGCTGTTTATTGTTTGGCTTTCTAATTTTTAAAAATGTATATTTAGTTTATTAATCCTCTATTTTTTTCTATTTTGTTAATGTATATTTGTAAGTATAAGATTTTTTCCCCCAAGGACTGCTTTACCTGTTATCTCAGAAATTTTGGTATGTTGTTCCATCATTGTAATTTTCTTTCATATAATTGTTATTTCTATGATTTGTTCTTTTACCCACATTACTTAGGAGTTCATTATTATGCCTACTTCATTCTGTGTCTTTTGTTTATGGTTCCCCAAACAATGACTATTTTTTATTTCATTATGATTTATAAAAGATGTATTTACTTTTTATGTCTTTTTACATTTGTTTGCCATATCTCTGTGTTTAAGGGTACATGGTCCATTTTTCATAAAAGTTTCATGTGATACTGAGAAATAAGAATATTCTTTTATAATCCTTTTTAGAAGATACCATAAGGCTTTTAGCTCTATTTTCTTCAGCAATTTCTTCAGTTCCATATTTTCCTTCTTGTTTGTTTTGTGTTAGACTTATCAAATACTGAGAGAGGGACATTTAAGTCACTGCTACTATTGTAGTACTGTCTATTTCTTCCTGTAGCTCAGTTAATGTTGACTTTGGGAATTCGAACACTAAGACATTTGGAGTATATAAGTTTATCACTGATATTGGTTTGTTGTTTATGGTTTCTGTCAGCATAATGTAGTTTCCTTGTTTATCTCTTTTT